GTTAGAACAATGACAAAAGTTGGAGTCGAAAACCGGTTTTTCAGCCAAACTGGGTGTGGATTTTCAATCGTTAATAAAATACTTTCTATCTGTCCATTTTCAAAGTAGGAATTGACAAAACTTTTCTTTTATATTACTTAATTTTTTTTCTCTATACTATATCTTACCCATCAAAAAGAAATCTGCGAGAAAAACAAGTGGCCGTGGTAGCCGAGTGGTATAGGTGTCGGACCGTGGCTTGCCTTGTCACGAGTTCGAGCCCAGTACCACTAAAGACCCGCCGTGTAGGGCAGCGATGCATGTTAAATCTGTCGAGAGCTGAAACGTCCTCCCATTGGTGTGGTAGTTAGGAGAGGGGGTGCCAGCTCAGGTGTCGTCCACATCACTTGACCATGGTTAAAATTACGTGGTCCGTCGCCAAAAGCCCTCGTGTAGCTGAACAGTGCGACGTTAATATTCAATCAACCAATCAAACGAGAAAAACAAAACAAAAAAATGTAATTTTTTATCGTATTAATACACTGTTTTAACTTAAAAAAATAATTTTATATTAAAATTGCTGAATTTTAATGACAGTTTCTCTCTAATTTTAAGCCTACAAGTAATTATAAACATATTTTTTGTAACCAGTAGTTTTAAGCATACATTTACTATTTGCGTCCTTAAATTTAATTCCTTGATAAAATCTTTTAATTTTGTTTGAGGTTTTGTTTGAAAATGTGTGATAATTTTATTGCTCTCGGTGAGGCGCCTAGTAAAGGTCATTGATCACCATAAATTGTGTTAAAAGAGAGAATAATTTGAAATGTCAGGAAATGTTTAAAAACAGGGAGAAAAAAAATCGAATCACAGGAGAATAATTTCGTTAAACAGAAAAAGTACTTCGCTAGTTAGAGGTTATTTTACGAAGAAAATCGTAAAATATTCTTTGCTCCAGAAGAAATTTCACAAAACAGAGGTTCGTAAAATGGAGGTCCGATCGTATTTCATTTTTAACCGTAAGTTATTAATCAATGTTAAAAGATGATTAGCAGTCATATCTTATCAATAGTTTTTAATAATAATTCAATTTCTCTTTTTCGTTAAAGTTCTACATAAGTTTATTTTTTTCGTTAATTTGATAGTGGCCATTGCCTTGTGATTATGGTTGTGAACCATAACCTGCAGTGTTTGTGTCGAGTCTTTGATTCGTATCGTTGTGCCTCGAATGGCCCGCCGTGTAAAGTGGTGAATGCCGAAAAATCTATCGAGTGAGTGAGTGAATATTAACGTCCTACTGTTCAGCTACACGAGGGCTTTTGGCGACGGACCATGTAATTTTGAACCATGGTCAAGTGACGAGGACGACACCTGAGCTGGCACCCCTCTCCAAACTACCACACCACACCAATGGGAGGACGTTTCAGCTCTCGACAGATTTAACGTACATCGCTGCCCTACACGGCGGGTCTTTAGTGGTATTGGGCTCGAACTCATGACATGTGTGCCTGCCATGATCCGATACCTTGACCACTGGGCTACCGCAGCCCTGAAAAATCTATCGTAGCTCAAAGCCCTTACGTTTCCTTGGTGTTTTTTTTTACTTACTCCAGAGAATCGAGCTCACCCAGTGGCGCACACAAGGAGGGGGTCCTGGTGGTCCGGCCCCCCCCCCCCAAAGCCCTCGATATTTTTTCAGATTGATTATAATTCTAAATATATAGTACGTAAAATTTAATTATTTGTTATTAATGATTAATTTTATTAATTAATGCTAATTATTTATTCCAAAATTAGTTTTTTACTGTGTTTTGTTCCCCCGAAAATCGACAAAATCAAAAGGAGCATGATACAAGAATGGTGAACTTTCGACCCCGGACCCCCCTTTGAAAATTCTTGTATGCGTTACTGAGCTCACCCAAAGGGCTTAGAGCTGCATCTGACCCTCCGAGAAGTTATTTTACTTGCAAATTAAACGAAAAACACGTACAAAAAGGTCTCGAATGAGGGACCCTCCCCCAAAATTCTTGAGAATCGGGGGAAGAATACAGCAAAAGCACTTTACAGTTACACAATGCAAATACAAAAAGAAAGAAAGAAAAAAACCACGCACACAAACATGAACACACACAGGTGCTACCTTCTAACGAGAAGGAATGACCCTGAAACAGACATAGGACACGAGGGGAAACCACTCACAAAAGAGATTGCGAAAATAGGAAGGAAAGTTAGATAAGGAGGTAGAAGGCCCCCAATTTTTTTTATCTTTCTTTTTCTGATATATTGCTGGGAGGACTCACGCGGCAACGGATGCGAGCCCCTTACAAGGGGAGGATGGGGTGGATAGACTTGCCTTTCCTTGGTGTTGAAGAGGGTGGTTTTCTTCATCGCTTGGTTATGGTTTAGAATTACGAGGTCCGTCACCAATACCCTTGCTTGAGAGGGCGACGTTAATAATATATTCCAGTGGCACAACGTAAACCTCTGCATGGGGGGAGGAGGAAAGGCAGGATCTAGGTTGCCCAAAGCCAAATTGACGACAAGTACGTACTCTGTAAGATCCAGCTTGGGGCCCAAAACCCGACTTTGCAGGGGGATTCTTATAGTCTGCTTTACGCCACTGATGTATTTTCTTTTGATATACTTCTTCTTTTCTTAAATGTGTTGTTGTTGCTCATGCAACCTGCCTGACATAGACAGATCGAGTCCCACGAGATTCATCGTGGCAATGGGCTAGATGTACGCCTGTCGTTTGATGGATCTGTTGATCGGAGAAATTCCCGAAGGAACGATAGGGGTGGCAACACCACCTATCTTCACCTCCACAATTTAGGCAAGGAACTGAATTGGAGAGAAATTTTCTCCTGTTCCCTGCACTCGAGATTCAGCCCACAAGACTTTCGAACCCACTGATTTAACGAGCACGCGCTCCCCGCGTACCCGGGGGGTAGGGGGCGGTACGGGCATCGAACCCAGACCTTCCGGTCCGGAGTCCGGTGCTCCAACCACTAGGCTACCCACGGCAAGGAATTGTCACCTATCAGTGGCGCACACAAGAATTTTTCAAGGGTTGGGAGGGATCGAGGGTCGAAAATCCATCATTCTCGTATCATATCCCAATAGGCTGCCAAACATATTTTGATTTTGTCGATTGTCGGAAACAGTGGCGCACACAAGGGGAGGGTCCTGGGGGTCCGGACCCCCCTACGCCCTCGATTTTTTTTCCGATTGATTATAATTTTAAGTATATAATACGTAAAATTTAATTAAATATTTGTTATATACTAATGATTAATTTTATTAATTAATGCTAATTGTTTATTCTATAATTAGTTTTTTACTGTATTTTGTTCCCGAAAATCGACAAAATCAAAAGGAGCATGATACAAGAATGGTGAACTTTCGACCCCCCCTCCCCATGAAAATTCCTTTGTGCGCTGCTGGTCGGAAACAAAAAACAGTAAAAAATAAATTATGAAACAAATAATTAGCATTAACTAAGAAAATAAATTATTCCTTCCTTCCTCAGCGGCTTGACAGCCCGGGGGGGGGGGCTTGGCCTTCTTTTCCTGGCCAGCCTTCTTGCTAGTCTTCTCAAAACTAGGAGATCTTTTTCTACGCCATCAATCCATCTAAGATTCGACCAGTCCTTTCTTTGTGCGCCAATTGGTTGGGCATTGAAGTCTTTTTTAGTGGGGCGGTCTTCGTGACCTGTCCATTTAATTTGTTGGATTTTGATTAAATTAACAATGTCAGATTCTTTATATGATTGATACAGCTCGAAATTTGACCTTCTTCGCCACGTTCCATTTTCCTGAATTCCTCCAAAATCTTCTTCGTAGATAATTCTCATCTGTTCGGGGGACATGAATCAAGTATCATATGCATAAGTTAATACTGATCTTAAAAGACTTTTATACAATAGAACCTTTTTTATTTTTGAGTAAATTTGACTTCATTTATATATATATATATTCGTATTCCATTAAGACATCTGTTAGTCATAGTAATTCTCTTTTGGATTTCAATAGTACAATCGTTTCTATTGTTAATTTCCGAACCTAAATAAGTGAAACTGTCAACAATTTCAAAATTATACTCAATTTTAGTGGGAATTGTTAAAACATGAAAATGTATTAAAATAAATTATTAATAACAAATCATTAAATTTTACGTACTACATACGATATAATCAATTGAAAAATAACAATCAAGGGTAAGGGGAGGTTCTAATTCGTGCACCTCCTTGTGTGCTCCACTGGTACTAATGGACATCATTTGTGCTTCTTAATTTTTCTGAAATTGGCAGACATGTTTAATAAATTTCATTTTAAAAGAACAATTAATATATTCAAATGTTAAAAATAATTCTATATACTTCTGGATTCAAATTTTATCAAAATTTTGATAGTTCCAATTGTGTAGTGATTACCAAAGGTTCTTCTCTTCTTTCTTCTCTCTTCTGTGTTGGTAGAGTTAATAGGAGTTTCATTCTTTTAAAATGAATGAGCCTCGCGTGGCTTCGTGTGGTAATTAGACAAGTGAGACTCAAACGGGATTTTTGTAACAGTGCAAAATTACAGTAGTTTTTATTTATTTTTTTATTCGCATTATGTTGCTGAGGGCATAGATTCCCTTAGAGAACGAACTGTCTTGCAAGGGTTGCATGAGGAAAACTCGACCATTTAAGAGGTGTCATGCTGAATTTGATTTTATGAAACAAGACAACCATATTAATTGATATAAGAAAATAAAGTCTTAAATAGTTAATCTAATATTCCAAAAAACGAGTAATATAAAAAAATCTTTTTTTAAGTCAATTCCTACAATGGTCAACAAAGAAAAATTTTTAGTTACTTTTTATTAAATAATTAATATAAATATGTATATACATATGACAAAATCACAATATTAAGTGGCAAAATAGAAAGCAATTTTCCTTTCTATATATGGTGTGTTGGACTATTATTTTTGTTTGTTACTATTTATTCATTCATTAATCACATTCTCAGAAATTAGGCCATCCCAGGTAGGATTCGAACCTTTGGATTAGAAGTCCAACGCGCTATCCATTGCGCTACAGGAACACAACGAACGATTTTCCTTTTTATACATGATGTTGTACTATTATTTTTGTTTGAAACGATTTATTCATTAATTAAATTTAATTAATGAATTAATGTTTTAAAAAGCTTTATTGACATCAAGTGTCATCCACTACAAGTTTAAAAAAAATGTATTTGAACTTGAGTGGATGAATAAAAAGTATTTTATAAGCGATGGAAAATTTGAACAAGATACAGGGAGAGGGTGAACTAACAGTAGGAATTAAAAAACAGACACAACTGACATCACCGAGATGTTAAATGAAGTGTGTCTTCATCACACACTTTGATTGCGGTATGAAATTATGTAGTTTGCTACAGTAAAGCATTAGAGAGATCCAGAAAAAACGTAAATTCTCTCTAACGAATCAGTGAAACAAAAGCTGTGTTTCTCCTTTGTTAAAATATTTATTATCTGTAACTGAAGGAATTATATGAATATTCTATAAAATATTTTAATTACACCTTCGTGATAGCAATGTTTTTAACATCACCTGAATTCTGTCATGTTTAAATGTCAAAGTAAAACAAATAATTGCAAAACGAAATGTAAAAGACTTATAACAGCTTATAGAAAACTACATTTCTGTATTATAACCTTGTTTTTTTTTTTTTTTTTCGCCGACTCACTTCACTGTACTTTCTGTGACTTGGTCAGCTTATGACCACTGGACATTTGGACGTGTGCCCTACACTGATAAGTTTTAATTGCATTGTCGAAAAGTATTAGAGAGCACGTGCACTAATGGCATAAAGGCTATTATTTTCTGTGTGTGGCATTTGTAAAATAAATTATTAAAACCTTGTAATTTATAATCGACCATTTATTTACTTATTGTGTAGTGGCCGCGGTAGCCTAGTGGTCAAGGTAACAAACTCGTAATCCATACTTTTTATTGCAAATTATTTGGTTTTTATTTTAGTATCAAATAAAATCCATAAAAGTTTTTAATTTCAGTAGTTTATATTTTAATGACAGAATGTGGCCGCAGCAGCCTAGTGGTCAAGGTAATGGACTCTTGGCCGGCGTGTCATGAGTTCGGGTCTAGTGCCGTGTAGGGGAGCGATGCACCTTAAATCTGTCGAGAGCTCAAATGTCCTCCCGTTGGTGTGGTGCGGTAGTTAGGAGAGAGGAGTACCAGCTCAGGTGTTGTCCTCGTCACTTGACCATAGTTTAAACTTACGAGATCCGTCGCCGAAAGCCCTCGAGTAGGTGATCAGTGCGAGTTTAATATTCACTTACTCAGTCACTTATTGTGTAGTTAATAGTTATAATTAAGCTCTGTTCTATATCTAACAAGGGAAGTTCAGTGGCTGAATGGTAGCGTATCGCGCTTCCATGCCATAGGTCCTGCGTTCAAACTCCGGAGTGACCAAGGTCAACTCAGCTTTTCATCCCTTCAGTGGGTCGTTAAATGAGTACCAAGTTTGCTTGGGAACTAAACACTGGAGTTTTCACGTCAGACTGGAACATCTGCTCATGCACTGCAATGCCCAAGGTCATGAAAACTGAGACAGGCACAGAAGGCCTTGGTCCTCATGGACTGTTGCGCCACTGAGTTTAATTTACTTTATATCTAATAAATATACCCTATATTAAGTTGTGAACGATGCGCTGATGGCTAAGCACCCTTTTTAGGAGTACAATGGTAAACTTTTGCTACGAAAAAAGAGGACTTTTATGACTTATATGTACAATGAATGAGGCTTATTGACGACGGACCTCGTAATTTTGAGTCATAGTCAAGTGACACAGACGGCATCCGATCTGGCACCTCACTCTCCTAACTTCCACACCACACCAACGAGGCATATGCACAAGTGTAGCATTAACGAAACCAATCTACTTCATGGAATTTGAACAAAGTTCACTAACCTGAGCACCGGTGGCAGAAACCTATGGGTTGTCATGAGTCTTGCGACGCTAGATTTTCTTGATTTCTCCAAGAATTATCAAAAGGGAAAAAAAAGAGATGTTTAAATTTTAGACTAGTGACCGATGAATTTTCTTGCACAAGCAATATACCAATAAATGCTGCCAGCCAATCAGCTTTCTCAATAGCTATGGCACAAAAGTTGACTTTAATAAAAATTGAATTGGAAGTTTCTCTTAATTGTTAGCAAACTGAAAACGGCAATTTTAACGGAGTCCCGAAATCCTCTTTTAATAGTTAGTAGACGTTAGGTGGTCAGGTCTTGAACTCGGGGCCATAATTGTTTCTATCGAAACATAGGTTCGTGTCACGGTGCCACTGATGACCGGTCTTGTAGAGAGACTGATGCACGTTAAGTTTATTGAAGTTTGGAGCAGTGGCGTAGATAGGTATCCAAAGGCCCTAATGCAAATATATATATATATATATATATATATATATATATATATATATATATATATGAGGGCTCTATCTTGCGTGAGTTTTATGCAGTAAAAAAGTAAAAAAATCTGAATATTTTAAATGTACAAAGCTACTTTATGACATCACACACACACAGCTCTTTATTGTCCTCTGCAGAATATATAATAAAGCAAAGCTGTGCACACTACTTACACGTATGTGTATGTGTTTTCTTGTGTGAGCTTTAGTGATCGCCCAGGTGTTCGATTTGACACCGCGACACTCGCAGAAGTAATAGAGCATTAGATTTTTGAAGTATAGAAAATAGAGCATTAGACATTTGCTAAAGTTAACATAGAGGTAAAAAATATCCCTATCATAGAGCACTTACAGTTAAGCCTAACTTTACCTCCAAATTGCCCCACCTAAAAAAACAACTCATGATAAATAGCATTATAAAACTTATTCTTGTCTTTTTATGTAGATCTTTTTCTCAGATATTGCTCTACAAGTCTGAACTAAAATTAATAGTTTGTGCCAGTTAATATTAATTTTAGAAGAAAGTTCATCAGCAGCCTAAACTAATATACCATTTGCAATCAGCATATCATGAAACTTAAGGAACATCAAACTTGTCGCCCACTTCAGAAACTAAAATGAAAATATTTACTATGATCTCAAAATAGGTCTCTAAAAAAAGAAATAACTAAATATCTTTATTTAAAAAGAGAAAACAGTTGTTTTTCAATATACCTCCACTTTCCCCCATTTGACCTACTCTGTATGTTTAATGCCAGTTTTCTTTTCTGTTGAAACTTGAAGGATTCGAGGCGGGAGTATATGTTAAATCATGAATTTGGATATGTGTGCTTACACATCTTTCACTTGTAACTTTCTCCCCAGCCCGAAGGGGGGTCACAACAGACATTCCTTTCACCGATACGATGTCCAGTTTCAGTTCCGCAAAAGGAGATAGGGGTAATTAGAATTTTTGGCAGATAGAGAGCCACGTGAGATGTTTTATTTTAGTCTTGAGTGTATGTAATCCCCACCATATCAGTAGACTCTTTTTCGAAGAAATTGTCCTGCTGAAATGGGCGATTCCTTCTCTTACATTTTACTCGTTTCTAATAATAAAAGGTAATTATGTTCTTATTTTCGAATTATTTTTTAAGACTTAAAATAATGTATATAATTGTTATGCTCCCTTTTCGTTCGCAAAAATTATTCTATCGGTGTATATCTATGTGAATCATTCATTTTTTTTTTTTTTTTGCTTTAGAGAGAGGGGCGGCATTTCCCATTTTTATCCGGGGCGGCAAAACTACTGGAGCCGGCCCAGCCACCGACATAGACTGGAAATGATGAAAAAAATATGCATGAAAAAGAAATTACAATACAATATTATTATAATTATTTTAAAAGAAAACACTTCTGTAAAAGAGCAGAGGAGGGGAGGGGGCAAAATTATACCAGTCTATTGCTGATACTAACAGATTGTGAAATATTGCAACAGAAACTAGCTTGTTATGAATCATATTGTCAAAAATGGAACGTAACTAGGAAGGAATTGCTTCCTCTGTGTAGGTTTTTTAAGATGTTAATAAGTATGGTAAAATTTTTCATGGAGTTTTATTTTCAAGTGACAGCTTATAAAAAAAATCGAAAATAATATAAATTTTTCAATAAGTTAAGTTATCAACACTAAGTAACGGAAAGAATTTAGGGGAATTCCCTACAAAATCGAAATTAATTTCACCTGAGTTGTGTGCCATGATTATAGTTGTGTGTGTTGCAACCTTTTACATTATATCTTAAATATGAGAGAAATTATCACAAGTTTAACTTGCTTGGTGATCAGGGTTCAAGGGGCCACCTGAGCTTGAGGACACCGCCTAGCCCATTGATAGCTACGCCACTAAATCGGAGTCATCTTTTTGACTTGATGCGAATGTCTGAAGACGGGGGTCTGCTTAGGTGTCGTCCTCGTCACATAATCTCGGTTTAAATGCGAGTTCTGTCGCCAACAGCCTTTGCAAATAAAAATCAAAACAAACAAGCAACGTTCAATATAAATCATTTCTAGGATAGTAAAATATCTATTTATAGACACCCTTTCTTGTCAATTTCACGTTCTCTACTTCATATATTCCTGATGTATCTTCTGAATTCAAATCAAACTAAATTTTATCAGTTTGTTGTCCCCTTTTCGCGCGCGTCATGTAGTTCTCTTGTTTTAAACAACACACTTCGTTACTTGTTTATGTCAAATTTTTATCCATTTCATTTTCTTGACCATAATTATGTTCAAAAATAAAAAGAAAATGCCGAATATATAGATGTCGGGTTTTACCGTGACTTTTTGCGTCTTATTGATAGAACGCGGCTTCGATAATCGTACAAGTGTTATCATTCAAAGGTAAAATAAATGTTTTGAGCTGATATGATTCAACCGAATGTGTTTGCACAGTTGATATTAATAGAAATTGCTTTTCAAAACAAATACAGACCATAAAAAGACATTTGCAAGAAACGTCACTCCCTTAAATTCTTTACGTCAAATAGCTTGTGTTAGTTATGCGATATATTTCTTATTATTTTCTTTGAAGGATTTTTTTTTTAAATCTAGGACATTTTAAAACATTT